TTCCAGTATTTCCTGTTGGTCGTGGCCATCCTTTGTGTCAAGTCTGGTTCAGTTCCATCATTGGTGGAGTTCAGAATGCTCTTTGATAGTAGGTGAACTCTAAATCCCAGCAACCACAACTCCCAAATGTCAAGGTCTATTTCCCCCAAACTCCACCATTGTTCACATTTGTGCATATTGAGGATTTGTGCCAAGTTTGGTCCTTCGTTGTTTGAGTTCACAATATTTTCTGTTGGTCATGGGGGTTTCTATGAGGGAAATTATTTCAGTTCCATCACTGGTGGGGTTCAGAATGCTCTTTGATGGTAGGTGAACTATAAATCCCAGCAACTACAACTCCCAAATGTCATCTATTTTCCGCAAACTCCACCAGTGTTCACATTTGTGCATATTGAGGATTTGTGCCAAGTTTGGTCCTTCATGCTCTGTTCCATTCATCCTCACATTTTAGCATTGCACTGAACAAGACTTCGGCTGCATCTGCCCTGTAGAATGAATGCACTTTGACACCACTTGAACTGCCATATCTCAAAGCTATGGTATAATTTGGACCGGAAAAGCGAGTACTGACATGTCATTTAGGTGATGAGGGTAGCGTGCAGCCAAGGGGAGAAAGCCTTCAGCTATTTGGAGGAGAGACCTTGGGCGGGCGAAAAAAGGGAGAGCGTGACCCCATCATAACCTTGGAAATGGCAGAGGATACACATTCCCTGCAAAGCTTACATTGTTAGCAGACCTGCTTGAAACAGTGCTAATTGCAAATGATGCTGTTTTTTCTACAACTACCAGAATCCCCCAGCAAGCATGATCACTGGGAATGCTGGGAGCTGCAGTCCCCAAAAAGATAGTCCCCAGTTCCCAAACTTTGCTTCCACATGTGAACTGCAAAATGTAATGTGTTGTTGAAGGCTTTCATGACCGGAATCACTAGGTTGCTGTGAGCTTTCCAGGCTGTATGACTATGTTCCAGAAGCATTCTCTCCTGACATTTCACCTGCATCTATGGCAGACATTCTTAGTGGTTGTGAAGTCTGTTGGAGATTAGGAAAAATGGGGTTTATATATCTGTGGAATGACATCCAGGGTGGGAGAAAGAACTCTTGTTTGTTGGAGGCAAGTGTGATTGTTGCCATTGGCTGCCTTGATGAGCATTGAATGGCCTGGCAGCTTCAGAGCCTGGCTGTTGAAGGTCCAGGGTGGGAGAAAGAACTCTTGCCTGTTGGAGGCAAGTGTGAATGTTGCCATTGGCCAGCTTGATTTGCACTGAATGGCCTTGCAGCTTAAGAGCCTGGCTGTGGAAGGTCTAGGGTGGGAGAAAGAACTCTTGTCTGTTGGATGCAAGTGTGAATATTGGAATTGGCTGCCTTGATTAGCATTGAATGGCCTTGCAGCTTCAGAGCCTGGCTGTAGAAGGTCCAGGGTGGGATCTTGTGTGTTGGATACAACTGTGAAAGTTGGAATGGACCGGCTTGATTAGCATTGAATGGCCTGGCAGCTTCAGAGCCTGGCTGTTGAAGGTCCAGGGTGGGAGAAAGAACTCTTGCCTGTTGGAGGCAAGTGTGAATGTTGCCATTGGCCAGCTTGATTTGCACTGAATGGCCTTGCAGCTTAAGAGCCTGGCTGTGGAAGGTCTAGGGTGGGAGAAAGAACTCTTGTCTGTTGGATGCAAGTGTGAATATTGGAATTGGCTGCCTTGATTAGCATTGAATGGCCTTGCAGCTTCAAAGCCTGGCTGTAGAAGGTCCAGGGTGGGATCTTGTGTGTTGGATACAACTATGAAAGTTGGAATGGACCATCTTGATTAGCATTGAATGGCCTGGCAGCTTCAGAGCCTGGCTGTTGAAGGTCCAGGGTGGGAGAAAGAACTCTTGTCTGTTGGAGGCAAGTGTGAATGTTGCCATTGCCCACCTTGATTAGCACTAAATAGCCTTGCAGCTTCAAAACCTTGCTGCTCCCAGAAAGGAAACAATCAGGGCCAGTTATCATTTCTCAAGATAGTATTCCCCCAGGCAGGAAACAGCCAGGCTTTGAAGCTGGAAGTCTATTCAATGCTAATCAAGCTGACCAGTTGCAACATTCACACTTGCCTCCAACAGACAAGAATTCATTCTCCCACCCTGAACATCATCCCACAGATATATAAGCCCCACTTGCCTAGTTTTGAACAAACCTCACAACCTCTGAGGACACCTGCCATAGATGCAGGTGAAACATCAGGAAGGACTGCTTCTGGAGCATGACCATACAGCCTGGAAAACTCACAGCAACTCTGCAAAATGTAAGCTCGGCAGCGTGCTTTCATTCCGTATAATTCAAATGTATGTACGGATTGCTTTTTGGCCTGTAGTGACCCCTGAGCGACCAGCTGAGCGAGGATTCGAACCCAGTTCTCCAGCACGGTAGTCCAACACTCAAACCATTGTGCAACCGAAGATGGTTTTGATAAATGTTGCCGTTGTTGTGTGCCTACACATCATTTTGGGCTGTCCTAAGCTGAACCCATCACAGGCTTTTCTCTATTCAGAAGGGGGTTGCCTTTATCTTTTTTTCATTGAGGAAAGATGCTTTAATGGACCACAGCGGCCTCACCTCACATCTTCCATCAATACAATACACAATGTCACAATATCTGAGCGATGTACAAACACTGACTCAAACTCTTCCCAGAGTTTTAAGGCAGCCTTCCTTTGCATTTCTTTCTTTCTTTCTTTTTTTGAGGGGGGGAGGAGAAGAGTAGGCTGTCATCTAACTTCACTTGACCTCAATGACACCTCAAAGAAACAATAGAAACAATACACTATGACACAATAAAACTAGGGCCGGGCCGAATGTAATGGATACAGGTTAAAAAGTGCTGAGTATGACAGGTGGAATATAGGATTTTGGGGTAAGTGCAATGTGCAGACAGTCTTAAATCTCTGGGAAAGTGCTTCTGGGACATATTGCTGGAGTTTCCTATTCTGGAAAGGCACACCCGAACAGCCAGGTCTTCAAACTCTTCCTGAAGACTGCCAGTGTAGGGGCTTGTCTAATATCCTTGGGGAGGATGTTCCAAAGTTGGGGGGCCACCACAGAAAAGGCCCTGTCCCTCGTTCCCACCAGACGCGCCTGCAACACAGGTGGGATCGCGAGCAGGGCCTCTCCGGATGAACGAAGAGAATGTGTGGGTTCATAAACGGAGATGCGGTCACGCAGGTAGGCAGGTCCCAAACTGTTAGGGCTTTGTAGGTAAGAACCTGCACCTTGAATTGGGACCGGAAAATGAACTGCAGCCAATGGAGCTCCTTGAACAGGAGGGTTGACCTCTCTCTGTAAGGGGCACCAGTTAACATCCTGGCTGCCACCCATTGGACTAACTGAAATTTCCGAGTTGTTTTCAAGGGCAGCTCCATGTAGAGCGCATTACAGTAGTCCAATCTAGAGGTGACCAAGGCATGGACCACCCCGGCCAAATCAGCCTACTGCCGTGACCCCTTAATCCAGTTTCTCACGTTGTGGTGACCCCCAACCATAACATTATTTTTGTTGCTACTTCATAACTGTTATCTTGCTACTGTTATGAATCATAATGTAAATGTTTCATATGCAGGGTGTATTTTCATTCACTGGACCACATTTGGCACAAATACTTGATAGGCCCAAATTTGAATACTGGTTTGGGGGGGGGGGGAATTGATTTTGTCATTTAAGAGTTGTAGTTGGTGGGATTTATAGTTTACTTACAATCAAAGAGCGTTCTGAACTCCAGCAATGCTGGAAGTGAATCCTTGGCACACAGAACTCCCATGACCGAGAGAAAATACTGGAAAGGTTTGGGGGGCATTGACCTTGAGTTTTGGAGTTGTAGTTTACCTACATCCAGAGAGCAACATGAAATCAAACAATGAAGGACCAAACTTGGCACAAATCCTCAATCTGCACAAATGTGAACGCTGGTGGAGTTTGGGGAAAATAGATCTTGATATTTGGGAGTTGTAGTTGCTGGGATTTATATTTCACCTACAATCAAAGAGCATTCTGAACTCCACCAATGATGGAACTGAACTGGATTTGATAAACAGAATGGCCATGGCCAACAGGAAATACTGGAAGCGTTTGGTGGGCATTGACCCTGAGTTTTGGAGCTGTAGTTCACCCACATCCAGAGATCACTATGGACTCAAACAGTGAGGGACATGGACCAAACTTGTGACCTACATCCAGAGAGCTCTTTGGACACAAACAATGATGGATCTGGACCAAACTTGGTATGAATCCTCAATATGCCCAAATGTGAACACTGGTGGAGTTTGGGGAAAATAGACCTTGACATTTGGGAGTTGTAGTTGCAGGGATTTATAGTTCATCTACCATTGAATTGCATTCTGAACTCCACCAGTGATGGGATTGAACCAAACTTCCCACACAGAAAACCCCATGACCAAAAGAAAATATTGTGTTTTCTTATGGTCTTTGACAACCCCTCTGACACACACCCTCACGACCCCCCCCCCCCCCCCCGGGGGGGGGGGTCCAAGTTGAGAAAGACTGCTCTAAAGTCACCAGATATCTTTAAAACTTATGAAATTCGTGGTTTGATCATAAATGTCCATTTGGCTTGAAGGACCATATACACATGTAATCCTAAATATATATAGTTACCTGTTCCTTCCCAAATAGAATAAGATGTACTTTGCACATGCTCAGGGTTAAAATGAGTGCAATTCTCACAGTATTGTCGAAGGCTTTCATGTCCAGAATCACTGGGTTGTTGTAGGTGTTTTGGGCTGTCTGGCCATGTTTTAGAAGCATTCTCTCCTGACCTCACAACCTCTGAGGACGCCTGTCACAAATGCAGGTGAAACATCAGGAGAGAATGCTTCTAGAACATGGCCAGACAGCCTGAAAAACCTACAACAACCCAATTTTCACAAGTTTGAAAAAGATTAATAAAGAGATGGCTTTTTTAAATAAAAAAGTGTTCTTTTTGTGCTCAAATCAAGCATTTCAGACCCAAAGGATTTCTATCAAAATTATAATTTATTTGTTCGACAGATGAGCGGATGCAAAAGACAGAAATACAGCATTGTTGCAAACATTGTCTGTCGCTTGCAAAATTCACAGCAAGAATTGCACTTAAGGCGCTTACAATTCTTTTGTTTTGTTTTTCTGGAAGCACACACTCGAAACCGCCTTTCGATATCAAGAGAACTCAATGTCCCAAAGAGACCTCCCCAGTTCATTCAATGCAGAACGAAGCTTCCTTTTTCGAAAGGAAACTTGTGCGCGACTAGTTTGAGACTCGGCGTCTGTTTCATGCTGTCCCCAAAGCCAGTCCTCTCCCTGGAGCATTGTTGTGCATTACAACACCAAAGACGCCGTGCGCTTCTCGTAGTGCATTTTAAACAAATGCAAATAGACAAAGTCATGGATCGCTCTCTAATCCCCTTTCATCCCAACAGACAACAGGGAGAGGCTTACGGAAGGCTTTCGACATTCAATAAACAAGTCTCAGAAAAGATTGTCAGTCTGGAGGAAAGCCATCCAGATTCTTGTTGGCATCGGAAAATGTGCCCGACTGTGCCGCCGGTTGCCCTCCTTACTTCGTGGCTCAGGGACTGCTGTCCATTTGGCTCACTGACCAAAGCTTTGGCTCCTTTACAGTTTGAGTGTTTCAAGTGTCCAGCAATGGGACTGGACGCTCATCATCTCCCAGCATCCTTCCTCCTCGTGGCATCTGGTGATGCCCAAAGTGATACATCTGGACTAAGGACTTGCGCTCTTTCCATCCCGTCCTACCTTCTTCAGTGGACTTTGATGGAGTGCTTCCCAAACTTGAGGAACTGGAAGAGTTTCTCTCTGGTCCTCTGCTTCAAAGCCATGAGCGACCGGGCTTTCTCCTCCAGTTCTTGGTCTGGAGCCAGGATGATCTTGGCCCGCTCTTCAGCCTTCCGGTCCCCGGAGTGTTTGAAGAGCTTCTCCAAGGACTCTTGGTCCAAGTTCTCGAAGATGTTGGCCACGGCTTTCTTGCGCAGGGCAGTATCAAAGCGATAGCCGTGGACTGAAGGGCTCACCCGCAAGGAGGTCGACATGGCTGGGGTCACGATGGAGCTGCCGCTTTTCCAATTGGTGCCAGCGACCAAGAGTGGCCTTCTCCTTGGAGTGTTTCTCGCCCAGGGATCCTGTGGAGAGCTCCTGGCTCCAGCGTGGCTATTTAAAGGCAATTCCGAGGGAAAGCCGGAGGTTCATGTTACAGAGATGATGACATCAGACGGGAGATCAACGCCCATGAACCTCAGGCCGGGTTAACAATTGCATTGCCAAAACAGCAAGGCTGGAGGGGAAGGCCTCTTGAGTGTAAATAACCAACACCGATTCGTCTGGCAGGAAAACCACTTCTGGGGAAATTATTTGCTTGCTCAACACATTGAAATGCGCCACGAATGAAAATTTGCTTTTTTGTTTGTGGCTTTGTTTTGGTGTTGTTAATAATCACTCTGGGTTGTTGTGAGTTTTCCAGGCTCTCTGGCCAAGTTCCAGAAGCATTCTCTCCTGACATTAGTGCAGTATAGTGGTATAGACAATCTATATAAATAAAAATGTCATGTTCGTTTGTGGGATTAACATAACTCAAAAACCACTGGACGAATTGACACCAAATTTGGACACAAGACACCTCTCAGGCCAATGAGTGTCCATCACCCCTAAAAACACACAAAAAAACCCAGCAGAACAGACAACCCCCCCCCCCAAAAATAAGCTATATATACATATACACATGCACACATACATACGTACAGACACACACACATATATATACACAAGTACATACAAATACACACACACTATACACATGCACACATACACATATATTTACATATACACATGCACACATACACATATAGACATACATACACACATATATACACAAGCACACACATATACTCAATATATATATAAACATATAAACACAGAAATACACAAATATACACACACATATGCACGCACGCATATACAAGCATATATCTGTCTAAATCTATCTATCTATATATGCAAACACACATATATACACACACAAAACATACACAGACTGGACCACAGCAACGCGTGGCAGGGGACGGCTAGTCTATATAAATAAAAATGTAATGTTCATTTGTGGGATTGACATAACTCAAAAGCCACTGGACGAATTGACACCAAATTTGGACACAATGCACGTAACAGGCCAACGAGTGACCTTCACTCAAAAAAATTGATTTTGTCATTTGGGAATTGTAGTTGCTGGGATTTATAATCACCTACAATCAAAGAGTATTCTGAACCCCACCAACGATGGAATTGAACCAAACTTGGCACACAGTTCTTCCATGACCAACAGAAAATACTGGAAGGGTTTGCTGGACAGTGTCCTTTGGTTTTGGAGTTGTAGTTCACCTACATCCAGAGATCACTGAGGACTCAAACAATGATGAACCTGGACTCTACAGGAAAACTCAATATGTCCAAATGTGAACACTGGTGGAGTTTGGGGGAAATAGAATCTTGTCATTCGGGAGTTGTAGTTGCTGGGATTTATAGTTCACCTACAATCACAGAGCATTCTGAATCCCACCAACGATAGAATTGGGCCAAACCTCCCACACAAAACCCCCATATGGGCCACAGCAACGCATGGCAGGGGATGGCTAGTCTATATAAATAAAAATGTAATGTTCGTTTGTGGGATTAACATAACTCAAAAACCACTGGACGAATTGACATCAAATTTGGACACAAGACACCTCTCAAGCCAGGGAGTGACCGTCACTCATAAAAAAACTGAAAAACACAGCTGAAGAGACTTAAAAAACAAAAAAATATACATGACAAACCATGCACAAAACCACACACACACACACATATATATATATGCGCAAGCACACATATATACACATATACACAAATATTTACACACACAAAGCACAGACTGGGCCACAGCAACACATGGCAGGGGACAACTAGTAGTAATATATATTATTAATATTGTGCTATGTTAATAAAATAATATATTGTATGTACCTATCATGGTAAGCCACTCTGAGTTTCCTTCAGGGTGAGAGAGGCCAGGGTATAAATATGGTAAATAAATAAATATTATTATCCAAGACTTCTAAGGAACCAACAACTGGATGAAAAACTGACTTTCTACCACTGTACTATAGAGTCAGCATGAGCAAACTTTGGCCCTCCAGGTGTTTTGGAGTTCGACTCCCAGAAATCCCAGCCAGCTTACTGGGATTGACAACTGGGAAATAGAGGGAGAAAATGTGGAGGCCGTGACAGGGTTTGTATTTCTAGGTGCAAAGATGACTGCAGACGCAGACTGTGGCCAGGAAATCAGGAGACGCTTCCTTCTTGGGAGGAGAGCAATGTCCAATCTCGATGAAATAGTCAAGAGTAGAGACATCAGACTGGCAACCAAGATCCATTGCCTAGTCAAAGCCATGGTATTCCCTGTAGTCACCTACGGATGTGAGAACTGGACCTTCGGGAAGGCTGAGCGAAGGAAGAGAGATGCTTTTGAACTGTGGTGTTGGAGGAAAGTGCTGAGAGTGCCTTGGACTGCGAGAAGATCCAACCAGTCCATCCTCCAGGAAATAAAGCCCGGCTGCTCACTGGAGGGAAGGAGACTAGAGAGAAAGCTGAAGTCCTTTGGCCACATCATGAGGAGACAGCAAAGCCTGGAGAAGGGAATAATGCTGGGGAAAGTGGAAGGCAAAAGGAAAAGGGGCCGACCAAGGGCAAGATGGATGGACGGCATCCTTGAAGGGACTGGACTGACCATGAAGTAGCTGGGGGTGGTGACGGCCGACAGGGAGCTCTGGCGTGGGCTGGTCCATGAGGTCACGAAGAGTCAGAGACGACTGAACGAATGAACAACAGCAACATGTCTGTATATTTTGAATGTCAAAATTGGCATTGTATGTTTGCCATATATGTGTACACTGTAATCCGCCCTGAGTCCCCTGCGGAGTGAGACGGGCAGAATATAAATGCTGTAAATAAAATAAATAAATAACTAAATAATACTATAAACCATAAACTCTGGATTGACTTAATATTCATATTGGAATTCGGGAATTAGACGCAAATTAAGACCAATAAAAGCAAACTTAAAGTAAGGCAGTTTTGCATTTCTGCTTTCTTAAAAATGGGGACATTCCTCTGGGTGCTGAGCACGCCTCCCTTGGAGCACCTCAGAGGGACTGAAGGAACCCAGACGCCACGTTGCCTGGCTCCTCTGCAAGGACAGCCGGAGGACCCCGCGGGCCGAGACGCGGATCACGCCCACGACAGGCGGCCGGCTGCAGAGGCCGAGACGGGTGTCTGTTTCCTGGCATTCATCTTCTGACGCGAACCGAGAACGGCCAACAATGCAAACTCGGCAGTCGGATTCTCCAATTGTCTCCCGGCTTCCTCCGAGACCCCGGCTGGTCCATTTCACTAGTCTTTGTTACCCAGATTCATTTTAGGCTCTCTCCCTTCTTCCTCTTGAAGCAGAATAGGCATGTCTTGCGTGTAACTATTGGCATTGTTTGGCCCCGGTGATGCTAAATGTCAAGCTGGCTAATATTTCTAATCAATGTACGTACGTACATCCACTATCACGGATTTGCAACCATTTCATCCGACACATTTATAGCACTACTAGCCGTCCCCTGCCACGCGTTGCTGTGGCCCACATGGGATTTTGTGTGGGAGGTTTGGCCCAATTCTATCGTTGGTGGGGTTCAGAATGCTCTGTGATTGTAGGCGATCCCAGGAACTACAACTCCCAAACGTCAAGGTCTATTTCCCCCAAACTACACCAGAGTTCACATTTGTGCATATTGAGTATTTGTGCCAAGTTTGGTCCTTCATTGTCTGAGTTCACAGTGCTCTCCGACTGTGGTTATATTTGGGCAGATTGAGTATTCATGCCACGTTTGGTCCAGATCTATCATTGTTTGAGTCCACAGCTCTCTCTAGATGTAGGTGAACTACAACTCCAAAACTCAATGCCCACCAAACCTTTCTAGTGTGTTCTGCTGCTCAGGGGAGTCCTGTGTGCCAAGTTTGGTTCAATTCCATCATTGTTGGAGTCCAGAATGCTCTTTGATTATGGGTGAACTATAAATCCCAGCAACCTCAACTCCCAAATGACAAAATCAAACTTTTTGAGTGATGGTCACTCCTTGGGTTAGTAGGTGTCTTGTGTCCAAATTTGGTGTGATTTTGTTCATTGGTTCTTTTGTTTTTAAGCTACTTATTACGGACAGAGCATTTATATATATTATACTAGCTGTCCCCTGACCCACGTTGCTGTGGCCCAGTCTGTTGATCTGGAAAATAAAGTAATGAGAAAGTGTTGGTTTCTAATATATGTAATTTCTTTATACTTGTGGGTAAACAGTATTTCTTGCTGTTTCGTTGTCAGTGTTGATGTGGAGAGTGTCTGGTTTGCCCACCCTGGAATATGGAACATATCATTGTCCTTCTTCAGGGGTCCCTTCCAAATCTATGATACTATATCTCTCTGTGTGTGAATCATATCTATCTCTCTATATCTATGGCTGGATGGCTCTTTGTCAGGAGGACTTTGATTACCTTTTCTTGCCCTGATGAAGGGAGTCGGATTGGATGGCCTTAAGTATTTTCTGTTGGTGATGGGGGTTGTTTGTGGGGTTCAGAATGCTCTTTGATTGTAGGTGAACTGTGAATCCCAGTGACTACAACTCTCAAATGTCAAGTTCTATTTCCCCCAAACTCCATCTGTGTTCATATTTGGGTGTATTGAGTGCTTTTGCCAAGTTTGGTCCAGCTCCTTCATTGTTTGAGTCCACAGTTCTCTCTAGATGTAGGTGAACTACAACTCCAAAACTCAAGCTCAATGCCCACCAAACCTTTCTAGTGTGTTCTGTTGGTCATGGAAGTTCTGTGTGCCAAGTTTGGTTCAATTCCATCGTTGGTGGAGTTCAGAATGCTCTTTGATTATAGGTGAACTATAAATCCCCGCAACTACAACTCCCAAATGACAAAATCATAATTTTTGATTGATGGTCACTTCTTGGGTTAGTAGGTCTCTTGTGTCCAAATTTGGTGTGATTTTGTTCGTTGGTTCTTTTGTTTTTAAGGTACTCAGTACACACAGAGAATTTATATATATATAGATTATTATTCCAGTATTATTAACTGCCAAAAGTCAACTTT